GACTAAAATTAATATCCCTCCCCAAAAAAGTGTGTTATTAATCTTGTCACCTGTCAGTTCTGATGGAATGCACATTTTTTTATTGACCTATCTTCTCCAACATAAATGCATATGTTTTGTATCAGCAGATTAACATTGAATTCTTAAAATCAAGGAGCACTGCAGTGTTCCTGCATGCTTTAAAGGAAGATATCCAGGCAGGTAAACCCCATAAAGAACCAAGCCTTGTGGCATCAAAATATTAAGCTATTAAAAAACTGCTGGGTCATTGTTTACCTCACGGAGAAGGAAATTATTTTATTTTTCCACGTGATATGATGACATTATAGCCCAAGGGAGACAAAGAAACATGCTTTCTGACATCTTTCTAGGTATCTATTCTGCAAGGACATTGAATTTTTTGTAGATAGCAAAAGTCTCTCCCATGAGGAATTCATCTGGAAGCCCATTGTGGTCATTGCTTTCCATTGCATAGATGCGTGAGGCAAGGCTACCCCTTTAGTCTCTGATACTTAACCCAGTCTGAAGCAATTCAAATTCTATAGCTAGAGAAGCCAGATAGCAGTGTGGCCTCCTGACAGGCCAGGAAAGACACATGATTTGGCTTTGCACTTGCAGCTCTAGTCCTTGATTCAAAAGAGTAAGAATCTGGTCACAATCTCTGAAGGCTACCTAGGGCCTTACCTTGTAAAATTAATTGGAATAAACTGGAAATGGTGCACATAAGCATGCTCAGTTGGTATTTTGTGGTACTGAAACTTGGGATGGCAGCCCAAGCATGGACTGCGTGGGGACACGTTTGGACAGCGGAGTCGGGGAATTGGTCACAGTCCATCTGAATTGGTTTTAGGTCCAAGAGCAAGGAGGTTTACGCATGCTGAGAATGGTGTTGTGAGGGACCGTCCCCAACTGTGCATAGAAGCTGCTTTTCCCAGTTGCCAGCACCGGTCAGGCAGCCTCAGGCTTCACAGTGTGACAGTGCCATTCCCTGACTGCTTGACACAGTAGGATCTGGTCCCTCTCAACCTGCTGGCAACAAGACTAGTTTGAACCTGTTCCTATTTTTGGCATAAAGTGTCTCCTACAGTGTCTGCTCCCAGATTAGCTTTAGCCCACTTGGCTGGAAACTGTTTTTATTCTGTACCTCCTCATGAATTGATGCAGAACTGTGGGTAACACACTGAAAGCTGAGGACGTCCATGAAGTTACATCTCCTTCCTTGCTAGAGGCACTGACAGTACAGCATAGCAATTCCATGGCATTATCTGTCATTAAAAACAACTAATCCCCCGGTAATGGGACTGCTGGATGTTGTTGAATGCCGAATATAAGCTGTTTATTGCTTAGAAAACGCTCCATCGGATTTCTTCTCAGATATTATGTTATACCCTCTGTAGAAAAAAAATGTGCAGTTTACCATGTCTGTATCAGACCCGATGTATTCTTGAATCCTATCTCTTAAGAAAGTGCCTTGCAAAACATTTAACACTTTAGTATGGATTTACATGATTAAAGCTGATTCATCATAAAATGATACATTGTTCATTCTGACATCCACTTGAGGCTGTCTAGGCTTTGCCAAAAAAGACTTCTTTTGGAGATCTGGATCTCCCAGTCCCACTAGCTTGCCTGTTCACAGTTCTTTTGACTAGCTGTACCTGGCAGGATTAATTTCATAATGGGTACATCCATCTTTTAAACCTTCCTCCCAGAACTGAATTGTAGGATATATCCAAACATCTTGGAGACTTTCAAAGTGACAGAAAGCTGGATGCTCTTGAGCAGTGTTTGAGGCTAGGCTGCTTAGATTGAAGTCTAGATTGCCTCCAAGGACAGAAGCCTGGCATGATGAATTGACTGACCTAGCAACTGAAAAATAAAGAGCATTTGAGAGAAGTGGACTCAGAAAAAATTGCAAAAATTAATCTTACCTTTGGAAAGATTTGAGACATCACTAGCGAACAGAAACTAAGATATTTTCTCCTTGACCCTCCTCTCTTTTCTGCCCTTGTTTTTCATCTACTCATTCTCCTCCTATCTTAAAAAAAAAAAAAATTCAAAATATGTATTATTTTTACAATTTCTATCAAAACAAGGCATTGCACAGCCAATACCATTTCCCAGGAAGCAAGAATGAGAACAAGGAACATATTACAGATTTTAATCATGATGAATGCTTTCCAGTCAGGCCTCAGGCAAATTCTGCAATGAAAGGTGGTAAGGATCTAGAGACAGTAAGTCTGTTAACATTTCAGATGAGTTTTGAAAATCAGGTAGGTACATTATTCCGAAAATCCTGTCTCACTGTGTGATAAGTTTCTTCTCAGTGGCACTTGTTGCGGCTTGCTGCAGTATCAGGTCCTAAGTGTCAGAAGCTCAATGGGGAGCTACAGGATTAGGTAGGTCTGTGCCCGTGACTCAGTGTTTGCAGCATCAGGCTTCTGTGTTAACAGTCTGTGTAATAAGGGATAAATGTTGTGTTATCTGATCTTGCTTAAAAAGGAATAGTTGCATCATTCAGCAGTTCATGGTGCTTTTGAAAAGTAGACAAGGTGTTAATATTACTGTAGGAAAATAAGCCTGTGTTTGTAATATGTACATGCATGTTCATTAGTTCCTATAGACTTGTGTAGCGTCAGAGCTTGGTCTTTGGGATTCTTTGAATCAATGGACCCTGGAACATGTTTGAGTTCCCCAGTTGAGATACATGTCCCTGCTCCATCCTGTGCTTGTATCAAGATGAGACTCAGATCATCACCATCCTTTCTGCACTCTGTGCCTCAGCTTTCTGTAAAGTACACAGCCCAAAAGGGTGCTATGGTGCACCCTCCCGAGGCTGAAGCTACCAGATACACCAGAGTATAAACTTTCACGCCATTTAGATAGTAGCTCTGTGACTCAAAGCTGCCAGTCTGGACCTTTTTACAGCTCCAGGATTAGGTTACCATTTCATTCTCATTGCCGAGAGAGACATTCCAAATGCAAGTTATTCTTTTACCTAAGCTCAGGAGGGTGAGGTGTTGGAAATATTAATAGAGCTCTCATTATCTTCTAACAAAGATTTGTCATGTCGGTACTAATTTATACAGTTCAGCAGTAAAAGCTCCTAATGATTCTGTGGACAAAAAGGAATTATGTACTAACATGTACTTTCATTTAATAGCATTAAATCTAGGAAAAGCAATTTTTTGAAATTTTACCCTTAAGCTGTAGTCTCTGTGGTCTCCTATTGCATATTCTGTTAAAAAAAAAAAAATGTACTGTCTTGTAGTTTTAAAATACATTTAACTCTCACTAACATAGTGTTTGGACATCTGCCAATTCCACTTTGGAATTTCAACTGATAAAGAGGGTAGCCAACAAGTAGGTGCATATTTGTTATAAATCCAGGGATAGGCTTCTTTGTCATCTCAGATAAGATGAGATAGGTATTGTTTGTATGTCTTCTTCTAGCTTATAACTAGAGAAACATGAAGAAAAAAACTTTTTCTGTCACAGACTTAATTTTTAAAAGGTTATATTAGACCTCATTTTTCAGTTTGTTCTCTATACAACACATTTTAATATGGAGTAATTAAATTGGAAGCATTAAATTGCATAATCATGAGTTCAGTTTTTAAAATTATATCAGCAAATTTATTTCTTGCATTTTTCAAGTCTCCTTAAACATATAAGCAAAACCCACAAAAAGCAGCTTAGAATCTCACTGCAGTGAGAAATATGTGGATTCTTCTCTGTTTCTTCTTAGACAACTTTGCATTCTGACATAAATAGTTTGAGTTTGAATTTCAAATAAGTGTACATGAATGTTTGACTTTTGACTTTCAAAAAAGCATATACCAATGTTTATGCATCAGTCTTCACAGTAATCTGAAGTGTTTATACTTTAGAAGGATGGATCTTGTGGGTATTTAAATATTCTTTGCCTGCAGTTAAGTGATAAAAGTTCAGTAAGTACAGTTTGCATATGGCTTGAAAAGTGTTTTTTTTCCTAGGTTCACTCATACATAACTCGTATCACTGGCATTTAGTGAATTGTATCTTGCAGTAGAAATGAGGAATGTTGCCTCTTTAACTATAAAATAACTGTGTCACATATGCAGTAAGCATGAAACACACAGTGGACTAATGGGACTTGTTATTGATGATGCTGAAAGCTAAATAACCATTAGTATTAAATCTTATGAATAGACTCTCTTCTTTCATCTTACCTCTTCAACCAGATAAAAGACACAGAGGCTATTTAGATGTCATAAGAATAGTTTGTTGAAATCCCTCCGGACTTACAAAAAAAAAAAAAAACCCTCTCTTCATGTTGCTTAGTGTTTTGTTGCGTTCAAAGAAATGCCAGTATGGTAGTGCTGAAAGAAGAATAGAACAGAAATCCAGCATTATGTGTGGGTTTAGGCTCGTTAAAGATGCTGGGGAGTTGAAATAATGTGCATCCTTTTTCTGCAGAAATCTCTTCATCAGATTTAAAAAATATAATTAGAAAAGTCACTGATACTGAAAATTTGCAAGAAGCCTTGTAAGACCATTTTATAATAGAGCACTGTGAATGTATTTTTCTAGTTTTGTTTCTTACACTATCATGAATGTTTTTAAATGACTGTAACAAATTAGAAATACCTGACTAAAAACTTTTTTACAAAGATGTTAACTTTATTTAAAGCCTCTATTCACCTAAGCATGAAGGTTTGTAAAGATTTAACTAGCCACCTTCTTAGTTCTAATAATAAAATACACCGAAGGTCATTGTAAATTGTACTCATCTTTCATACAGACTATTCAGAAGCAGAACATGTAATACACTGTTACCAGTTGATGTGGAAGAACTATTCAGCTCTGAGATCCTGTGTGACAGCTTTGGAAACAGTAACTAAATTGCAAGTGTCTCTTGTGAAATTCTCGTTCAAATAAATATTTCTAGATTTGTGGTGAATAGATATTAATAATCATAGAATGCATAATAATTAATCATGCAGTTTTTTGTTTTACAGGGAGCAGAACTGGAAAGCTGTGATGTTAATACCATGTTGCTGGTACATTTCTTTGGAAAAGAAGGAAAGGAAAAACTTCGCTATTCTGAGTTTTTCAGGTATTTTTTCAGCTAGGCAAGCCTAACAGCAACCAGTCCTGTTCCTTAACCCCTCTACTTTGCACCAGCACTGGCATTAATCTGACCTCACACTGAGCTAAATCAGAAAGTTAAGCAGGTAATAAAGCAGGAGATTATTCACAATTTTGCATGATTACATTTCTAATTTAGCTTCTGGAGTCTGCAGTCTGCAGGAAGAGTTGAGTACCATAACTCCAAAGCAGCAATGGGCCTGGAGGCCATGAGGGCCATTCTTGGCAGCTGAGTGATGGCGTACCTTAAGACAATATGATGCATGAGTATTTTTCTTGATCAAATCACCAAAAAAGTGACTGCTAATCAATTAAAAAAGCTTTTCTGAGCTGAGACACTCCCCTCCACATTACAGCTGTCATGGTAGGCTACAGGCAACTTCTCTGCTTGCTTCAGATTCCAGCTTCTGTTGAAACTTTACCTGTGCTTTTTCCTTTACCCTTTGAACTACTTTTGCAATGGGACTATGCAGATACTTCCCGGCACTTCTGTCAGAACCAAGAATTGAGCCAGACAGGAAACACCACATCAGACTGAAAATGCAGTGGAATACCAAGCGGCCATTATTCCTGGAAATGTAGCGCTGTATACCTATCTATTTCACTGTAAGCTTTGCAAAATCAGAAGTTAATAGAAAGTTCTAAGACTGGTGTAGTGAATCGTTCAGTTTATCTGTCATATACATGTATGAAGTTCTGCTGTGGTTTTTGACTTGAAAACCCAACCGGGAATCAGCTGTTAGCGTTTTAATTGGATGGGATTCTTTCTTCCAATGTTTATTTCAATCAGTAATGATCACCACCACCCACACAGCATCACAACTTAACTGGTTAAAACTCTCTGTTACTTGGGAGATCAATTTCTCCTGTTAGTATGAACTCCACACGCATCTTGCTATGTGAACTTGGGCTCAGAATCCAAATTCACAGTCTTTCTTTGAGATAAAGGGAAGTTAAGTGCCTAAATACCTGTGTGAATCTTGACACATGTCTTGTAGCATGACATCAAGAGAAGATTAACTACGTCAGTATTACCTTGACTACAAAAATAATCAAGTCATTTACAGACTGCAAAAATAAATTAGGATAATGTGTTTTACTTCACTTTATGTTCAGAAGCAGAGAATCTGTGTTGGCCCTCTTAAAAATGAATGTTTTTGCAATCAGTAGAGGTTTGGAGAAAGACAGAGTAGAAAAGGAAGAGTGGCAATTTTTCTAACACTAAGAAGTGTTCGGCTCCACTGGCTCTGGCACCCACCAGTCTTCAAATAAACAACCTTTCCCTTTTGAAGACCTTGACTCAATAGGAATCTAAGTGAGTAAAGTAAGTTTAAGATGCCTCCAGCTCCCTTTTCTATAAATACCATAGATCCTCTCAATGAAACAAAAGGCAGAGAGCACCAGTAAAAGGTTGTGTTTGCATATACAGTGTAAACTGAAAAGCTTCAGGTTTTAGATAAAATCCTACATTGACCCAATGAGGCATGACATTGATGAAACTATGTACCTAGTACATTCAGAACGTGTAGGTTAAAGACCTTTGCCTACCACACAGATAGAGAGGCCTGTAATCAAAATCAAACTCCCACATCTTGGTCTTAAAATTTGTGGGATAAGTGTAAGGTTTAATGCAGGTAATTTTTCAACAGTGGCAGTTATGTTTCGTAGAGCTGGAATGTGCCTCTTTATCACTGCGTAGACACTCCATCTCAGTTGCAACATGACAGTGAAGTTTGTTTAACATGCAGAAAGGTGAATAAAAGGATCACTGTTTTTTAACCTGTGTGAAGATATCACCTTTCACATGATTTTATTTGCAAGTAAATCAAGCACATCATTTCTGGGTTCCTATTGTTCAGAGAAAATGCGATTTCTATCTGATGGCCTCTCATAACATTTTACCTTACACGGGAAGCTATTGTTGGCTGTTTGATCAAAGTGCCACGCTGTTTTTACAAGAGATGACTGATGAGCTGTACAGACATAGATCATTGTCAAAAGCAGAAAATAATGATGGTAAATGCTTTTATCATTTTCCAAGTTCTTGCCTAGAAAGCTTTTCCATTGATCAGTGTAGTACCTAGTAGAAAGTAGGGGTGATTAGGTTTGATTAGGACACACTAAAACTTGTCACATTAGTTAAATACACAGATATTGCTGTGTTGTAGAGTCCTTGAAACTAAAAATAAATAAATAAACCAAGGCACGAATGCTCTCTCTGTGACATTTCACTGGACTTACATGGGAATTCAGAAAGCCGAGACTAGTGTTCTCACCTCATTACTTATATATATTTTCCTCATGCTTCCTCCTTTTCAGTTTGGCTGACATTAAAAAATCCTTTTGTAAGTGTGCAACCATCTGTATCTACATGTACACCGATGATGTCTGACCCCTTTAGCCCACAGTCCAAACATTTAAAAAATGTCAGACAGCCACAGTCAATATATCAGGGCAATTCATTTGCCCTGTTCTCCTTTCTTTGCATTCAGTTGCCACACAGAAAATGGAAGCCGTCTTTATCTCTGCAGGCAGCGTGGAGCTGACGTAAGCCAGCTCTTGTGCCTGCCTCCCCACTGCCCCGCACGCAGGAGGATTATAGGCAGGGAAGATGGTTAAGCATGCTGTGCTCCCTTTGTCTCCAGCTGCTGCATGGTTCTTGGGAAATCATAGCTGGGTGATGCACACAAGGACAATCCTCAGGCTGCTTTTACCAGATGTAAAGAATGAGGCCATGAAACAGAATATCAGATCACTTTTCAACCTTTCTTGGGCTGCTGGGAGCATGGAAGTAAAGAAGTAACCTTTTCATAGGTATTTTGTGACACCAGTCAAGGTCTTTTCTCGCTATCCTCCAGAACATAGTCAAAACAGCAACCAAAGCTGTTCATTTTCATTCTCTGCTGAGCAGCAGTGGTGGGACTCCCGCTTTGTTCTGCAGCTTCTCCTGGGATGGCTTTGAAGTGGAAGCAATCCAGGATGCATACCATCCTATGTCTTTCGCATAGTAACAAGGTGGTTTCAGAGATCTTACAACTGGACTCAAGGAACACATGTTCAGCTCCAGACTGCTACGTGATTTCTTGCCAGTTGTATTGTTCTTAACGTAAGGACAATATGATAGTTACTACTAATAATTTACAACTTCAAAAGCGACAGCTCGTTTCCCTGGCAAAAGTTAGGAAATTTAAATTAAATTGTTCTGGAGTATGCTTATGTACATCACTAGTAAAGGTGTTGCCTCCTAGTCAAATTCAGCCGGAATCATTATTCTCCTGTATCAGTTTAAGAAAATATAAACCAATATGCAGCAAGCCTAAAATCATGTAACAAAGAAGGGTAGATTTAATACAAGAAGCTGTAACCAGGTGAGACTTTCTTCTCAGAAGATCTGAACAAGTTTCTGTTTCAGATGACCACTACTCAGTTTTTCACCTCAACAGCAATGTCATCTTCTAATATCAGGACCCATCTTAGAGAATGTCAGATTGCAAACATGAGGTCATAAGTTCTCCGGGATTCCAGGCTTTTTATTTTTTTGCATGGGTTTCTCCTGGTTTTGGGGATGGAAATAATTTTTGGTCTTTTCTTTCAAAAAAATATTTCACTTGTACTTTAATTTCCAGCTATACTGTGCATGCTATTTTTTAGGTATAGCAAATATTTCTTTTTGACAGCCACTGGGTTTTTTCCCTGAAAAAAGTCTCTTACTGATCTTGTTTAAGTATGTCTAATCCCAAATAAAAGAGGAGACAGTAATTCACTCCCTAAACAGTTTACGACTGCTATGATTTTTTTTCTGTAATCTGTCCCCAAGCAAGCTTAAATCTCTCACAATCTCCTTGAAGGGGAAAAAAAAAATGCAGAAAGTATGGAAAGAATATTCAGAAAACTTTCTGATTGTTGTATTTTTTCCCTGCGATGGCTTACAAAATGTGCTTCCCAGTATGGTTAAACAAGGGGCATCTTTTAGTCATGTAAGGAAAATTAACATTTCAAATCCAGTCTAAGGCATTTTCCTACCTGATTTATTGCTTCCAAACTTCTCATCAGTTAATAGAATTTTGCACCAGAAATATTCTTTAATCATGGTTTCTTTTTTATTTTCTGCTTTAGCTTGAATGTCACAAATTGTATAACCCTACACAAAACATGCCTTTTCCCTACCTGTCCTGTTTCTTTCCTTCAGTATTTTGAATTCTTTGGCACGTTTCATTTGAAACCTTTCATTTAAGAAACCAGAATGATCCTGGTTGAACCACACCACCAGTGCTGACATTTTTCTGGTCCTGTTCTGTGTTTGTGCCAATGCATGGATGCAGAATCTCTTTGCTGTGATGATAATTTGTACTTTTTCAGAGATTTTCATCTAAGGATTTGGAAATGCTTTGCAGAAATAGAGTATGATTGCCTCCTTATTTGTCTCTGTACCTACACTCATATCTGTGTGCGTGTATATGTATATAGACCCCTAATACACGTAGAGATTACATCTCGTGCAACCAGGATCAGACAGTGAAGAAGTGGAGATGGGAACAAAATCTGACTTCATGATTGTATATTCCTGTCGTAACTGAATGTGAATATTTCCCAAGTATTTAGTAAAGATGTTGAGAAGAATCTCTGTTCCTTCCTTTCCTATATACTTAGCAGAGGAATAGCTTGATTAGTTTCTACAGAATGCTTATAAATGAAAGGGAGTGGTTTGGTTTGGTTTGGAAACATTGAAGACAGTAAATCAAAGAGGGTTTTGCCTGTAGTTCTGAAAGTAGTGAGATTGATTAACTGTCTTACTGCTTGCAAAAAATTTACAGGCAGAGATCTAAATGTTCTCTAAAGGTTAACAGTCAAGCCCTTATTAGATTTCCTATATTATGTTTTGAAAGTCAGATTGCAAAAAGGGAACCTTGCAGCTGATTTGCAACAGTCTTTTGGTGCAGAGAGGGTTATCAAGTCTTCAAAAGGACTTCAGTGTCCAAAGAGGAGCCAAAACCGAATGCAAATGCTGGGGTGGTATATCCTCCACTATCTTTGTTCTTAAGTTTCCTTCCTGTAAATCAGTGTGACAGGAACTAGTCAGTTCCGTATTAGAGTGTTAAAGCTCTGCACAGACTTTCAGTTCAGGTCAAGAGCTATAGGAAGGAAAACTTTCCCTAACCTTTCCTTTTGTGTTTCATTCTACTACTTTGTGTGCTGTAAGGAATACAACGCTGGCACTTCATTGCAACATCGCAGGTTGGAGGGGGAATAGCTGCATTCCTGAGGTCTCCCCACTTTTATTACATGTTCACTTCTATTAAAGCTGAGTTGCCAAAAAGTCTTGAGAGACTCCCTCTTTCTGTAGTAGAGCACATTACAAAATGAGGGATAAATCCTGATAAGGTTTCTGGATGCTGTTGTAACACAGTGACGAATTTGGCCATTGGCCTTCAACGTGGGTGTTTTAGAGAATGTGGATAAAACAGGCTATCTTAAAGAAAGTACTGTCTGTTCCTAGCCTTTTCCTCATCTTATAAATTTATTATTTACCTTTCCTTTTTGTTATTTGGAAACTTATGGCTTGCTTTTATTTTCAAGCTACTATAGCATAAGAATAGTCCCAGTGTAATTATTTTTGAATTGTAGAGCACATCTACCATCAGAATCCTGTTCCCGTAGTGGAATTCTGGCTCCCTTCAAAGTCCCCAGCCAAGCTCCCACTGACTTTGGGAGAGCAGGAATTTCATTCCTATGCTTGTTTTTCCAAATATCTGGAGAAATTTTTAAGGAATTTCCAGCTGAAACTCATCGCACAGTGATCCAGAAGATACAAAAGCAAGTATCCCTGGTGGTGTCTTGGCATTTAAGTATCAAGTTTTACTTCCTAACCAGAAAGTTATTTTTAATAACTTTTAATAACTTTCACTTGGAAAAAAAAACCTCATTAGGATTTTTAACTCTCACATCTGGGAATAAGAGTGACCTAGAATGCTGATGCGATGATTCATAGTATTTTAGTTTTTGTAATATGGGAGACTATCACATATAAATTTTAAATTGCACATTTCAGTTGCTGCTCCAAGTAGCATTTAGTATGGCAGGAAATCTTCCTGCTCTGGCTTGCCAGGAGCAAGCTTACAAGTTGAAATTAAATTTCCGTTAATTTTTTTGTACCTAAATAAGTAATTCCCGCACCCCTCCCTTATCTGCATAGTGCAGCAAGATGCGTGGCTGTCGTGCCACAGGAGGGGTGCAGTGTCATTGCCCCAAAGCAACTGGAGAGGGCAAGAACCCAGGCCTGAGAAAAGGCAGTGGAAAACCCACAGTGGGGCTGGGGAAACATAACACTTCATTTGCTGTCCGACTAGAAGAGGGTGCAGAAGCAAGAACACATCCCAAATGCCACAGCCAAACCCTTTGCTTTCCTCTTTGGCTTTGCTGCACCTTTCAGCTGGCTGATGTGTGCGGCTGGCTCGGCCACTCGCTCCTCCCTCAGCATGTGGAAACGCTCGGTCTTTCAGCTGCCCTGCCTTTACTGGGTATGGCTAGAGGGCAGGTCACTGAGGGGTTTCTGCTTAAGGAAATGCAATATTTGGAAAAGATGGAAGAATATGCCATCTGTCATCACCTGTGGCTACTGACCAGTATAGCAAATGACTGAGAGGTAGCTCCCCAAGATAAATAACTCTTATTTTCAATACCAGACCTTAAGTCTGTTGCAAAATGTGTTCACCTTTCATAGACCAAAGGCCAAGAAAATGAAACACGTGGTTTCTTGTTTCCCTACATCCATGGTTTAGTCATATTTCTGTAAGTGACCTCATTTTCAGCAGCTTCTCCCCCAGACCAGATGTTACATGGGTTGGAAATGACGCACCGTTCTGCGTGGTCTCTGCTGTGATTTCCAGCCAAGCACAAGCCACACATCCCAGATACCATCTACTCCTTGCCTTTGATGGCCACTCCCAAAATGCAGCCAAGTGGCCCTAGTCAGTCTCTGGTCCATGCCATCCTCTCCCCCTGCAGCTTGACCTCCCGTCCCAGGGTCCGAGGAGACTCTTGCAGGCGGTGCGGCAGGACTGCTGCTGCTAGCCCGTGCTTGCCAGAGGCAGCTGTCACCTCCTGGGTTACAAGGACAGGAGCTGCATCTGAAAGCTGAAGAGTGGTTTGCAAGCTGTGCAAGTAGGCTCTCGCTGGTCTGTAAGACAAGGGGTCTCCCCGTCACACTGGTGGCACAAACAGGTCCTTTGGTATTTCATCCCCTTGTGAGAGGGAGAGTCAGGGGACTTGAAAGTGAGCCAGGTCTTAAGGTGGACTGTGGAGGAATATACCTCAGTGTTTGCCTATGCTGTGGAACCCTTGTAACCTCCTTTACCGGACCAGAAAAATGCCCATATAAAATGTGAGAACATGTCATACCCCTCCTCAGTATTACCCTAATAAAACTCTAGCCTGAAACTTAAAATCACTTCCACTGTCAGGGTTTCATTTACCTGCATGTCCTGAGCCATGCAGCATTTTGTTGGCCCTTTATTTGCATGTGCGGTTCTAATTATTAGAGGGGAAAAATACAGGAGAGATCCTATGCTGCAACAGCAGTCTTCAGCTAACCCCTTATAGACTTCACAGAGCTTCGAGCTACTAATTGTCCAAGTGATCTCATTAAAGAACTAAAGATAGCTGTGCGGGCTAAAATGCCGTAATTTCAGGGGAAAGAACTCAAATCCAGTGAGGCCGTGCAAACACTGATGAGCAAATGAGCCTCTACTGATCTTTGCTACATAGACCCTTAGCTGTCCTCTTCTCCAGCTAATTGCTTTGTCACAATGTAGGAGCATTTCATTCTCTCCTGTCAATAATTCTTGCAACTCAATAAAGCAGGGTTCTTTTGAAGTACTAAAGGGATTCTGGCAAGCATCGCTGTGGTTTTAGCCTTTATATTTAAAAATTATCACTTGTTTTTGGATCGCCCCATTCCTGAAGTGGAAATTACCAAATGGATCGCACAGTATTGTCTTGTACTTTCGAAATTCATATTCAGAAGAAATCATAATGGTCTCATAGACCAGACAGGAAACTCAAAGCTACAACTCTGCTTACAGTTCTAGCTCTGTACTTGCAGGTTGTTACTTGCTTCTCATGCTACTTTTTTTTTTTTTTTCTTCCTAAAAGAGTGTGTGTCTCCTAAAACCCTTGATGTTCACCCTTTTCGTTTTCAGACAGCTCTCTCAGCTTCCCAAACACCTGCAACATCATTTTCTGTGCTCTTCC